CTGGTGAGGGACAAGTGAAGCAGCTGTGCTGTGCACAGCTGGATAATCTGCCAGTTTACTGCAGCAATTGTCCCCGGCCCACCAAAGAAAGTGTTTTGCGAGTCTCTGGTGTCATGCAATGACTTACTAGCAGGCTGAGGCCCAGAGAAGGTACTTGCTGTGTGAGAGAAGCTGTTGAAGGTACTGAGTTGGCAGAAAGGAGAGGCAGGGAGCTTGGGAAGCAAATACAAAAATCAGCAAAGTAATGTAAAGGAAAGCACTCCTATGGGAACCAGCTGATGGGCAGCATGGGGTAGAGTCCAGGCAGAGCTGCCAGCCACCGAGCAGAGATGGGAGAGAGCAAGTACCGAACGCGCACAGAAATTCCCCCTCTTACCCTGCTGACAAATCCCTCTTAGCAGTTACCCATTGTAAGCCAGTAAACTATGGTTTGAACAAATACTGTGCACAGAGTTTGGGGAATTTATTGGAAGCCCTTCTCCTAAAGTCTATTACTTTGAAATTAGTAATTAGGCTTCAAAACATGTGTCTAAAGCAGGATTTAAGGAGTGAATGTTTCAGGCCATATATATTCTTATGTGCTGTAGGTCAAAGCCTCTAAGAAGCAGCAGGTGGTAATGTCCCCCTCCTTTCATCGCTGACTTATGCATAACTCTGGTTTTCCCTTGTCTCACACCAACACACGGTAAATTCCTCCGACCCGTCACATTTATCTTTGAAAGTGCCTTCTCAAGCAAGCAGAGGATCTCTCCTCCTCTTTCTCTCTCTCAGCGCAGAAGAGCCTCTTCCTCTTTCATAGCATTATAATGAACCCAAAATCTGTTGTATTTTATGAAAAAATGGAGACAATTTCTACCTGCTTGCAGTGTGTGATGCAGGGACAGCAAGGGGGAAAAGGCTTGTCAAGCCAACAGCTGCATTTAAATTATGTTGCTTGTTTCTCCCTCTCCTTGGAGAGATGTACAAATGAAAATTCAAGAGACCAGAATAAAAAAAGCGTGGCTAGATAGAGGGTGGCATTAGCAACAAAATGGGAAAGGACATTTTGTTCATGTCACAACAGGATCTATTTTTAAGAGCTTGTTGTATGTTTCATGTCATAAAATCACTTCTGGGATTATTTTTTCTATAAGAAATAATGCACATGCCCACTGCAGAGAGCACTAAAATACTCCACTCCAAGCACTTCAGACAGGATGTATGGAAACATTCAGCATTAGTCTGAGGTAAGAACAAATAGAGGCAACTATCTGGTGACGCAGAATAAAGAGAGAGAAGAGCGGGATTTAGCTCAAGTAGATTGAAAGGACCGGTAGCATTGGAAGGACTATTAGGGATGATAGAAGTGGTAATTTATTTGACCTAGTAACTGCACTAGTTGGTGGCCATCCCTTTGAATATGAATATCCCATTGAATATTTCCAGTAACTCTCCTGGAAACAAAACAAATGTGTCCAGATCTCCTTCGGGCAGGGGAGACTGTTTTTACCACTGAGGCAGAGGAGCCAGATGCCATCAAGTGCTTTAAAAACACTCTCTCTTCAACCAGCAGGAGCATCTCAAAATGATTGTGTTTTTTCTATGTACAGCTCTAATTAAAGGTCTCCATTTCAATTAGTCTCGTTTTCCTGACCTATAACGTTACATGTCAGTCAGAACATTTTGTTTTAAGCAGAAAGCTCACCTGTAAACATACTGCTCTGAGATGTTTTTTAAGCAGAAAACCCAGCCAGTACACATACTGCTCTGAGATGTTAGTTACAGGCAAGACATAATTTTAAAAATGTATATGAGAACAAGACATCCAGGTCCTACTGAATTTCACTTTGATGCAAGCATACAACCCACCTAGATGTCCTCAAAGCATCTTGAAGGGCAAAATGTGGTAACTGTGCTTCAAACTCACTGATGAGTAGTCAACTTTGTCAGAACAATTTCACATTTCAGATTTAAAAAATATTATTAAATTTACATTTTCCAATTCCAGTGTTATCTCCTCCCAAAGTCCCCTCAAGCTAACAGCAGTTACAGTCAGCCTGGGGCTGGAATCTCAAGCATTCCACCTATATTAATGGGACATGAAGTGCAGATGTGATACAAACTTGCAGCAGTCAAATTCTGCTCATGACCAAAGGCTAACTTTAAAAATGAGCTAGTAAATTGTGTAAACATGACTGGGAAGGAGCCTTTTTTCCTGATGAACATTATTGAGGCTCTTAGGTGTCAGAGGGACCTCATCTCCTTGTCCAGTCATCTTCTACAGCACCTCTCCCATGGGTTATCATCTCAACAAGAATGTGGCTCCCCCATAGGAAAACCTCTTTCCAAGTATAACCAGGGAGATACCTGATGGAATTGTGACTCAGCAACTGGCAATGTGAGGGCGACTTCACCACCTACATTCCCCAGGAGCCCCTCTGCCCTTGATTTCCTTTGCCTGACCCTTCCCTCCACTCCCCTCTCCTCTGCTTTGGGCAGGTTATCTGACCGCGTGGATTATCTCAGGAGGAATTTTCAAGTATCATTACAGTACGAGAGGGACAGGTGACGTGCAAGCTATGTGGGGAAGATGCTGTAAATGTCTTGCAGGTTAATTTGTAATGCTTTGAGAGATCACAGCCCAACTTCACTGATGTGTTGTTTTATCTGAGGAATAAAGAGAAGTCCAAGCGGGGCTGCTGTCTCTTGTCTCTTTCTCTGTTGTTAGGTAGGCTTTTGTAAGAAACATTTTATTTTCACAGAGTTAAATGACACAGTAACTGAGAAATATATCTTTATTATTATAATGTTTATATTCTAAAAACTTTTATCTGGGGTTTCAGTACAATCCGATTTCTTTCTAATTCACTAACCTGGCATTGGTTCAGCAAATAACTGTAAAGTAGGATTTGAAAAGTTTAAGAACATGCAACTTTTTACTCTCTTTTTCTCTTCCTCCTCCAACTTATAGTCAAGATTTTGGTGTGATAAATAATAAAATAGGCATCTCATTTGTGAACTAGTAGTTGCACTTAACTTTGGTGACTGCCAGGTAGATAGGCATTTAAAAATAAAAATATTCTTTTGGTGTCAAGTGGATAAAGGAATAGATTAATATATTTTACCTTATTATCTTTTTAAAGTTCACCTTTATTATCTTCAAGAAGGGTCATTTTTTCAGGTTTGTAAAAGGACACTAAAAAAAAAACAAACCTAAAGGATGTTTCTGTTTTGTGGCTTGCCTAAGAAAGTTGTTGTAACATATGATCTGACCCAAACCCATGCAAGACAATTAACAACTCCTTTTTATCACACACAATGTCTAGCATAAGGCCAAGTGTGGCCTTGGCCTTGTGATGTGGTTAAATAAATATTAAAATGTCATTACAATCTAAATACCTGAATTGGTTTTACACTGTGACTTTCTACTGAAACAGTGTTGAGAAACTTTAAACATATATCTGATTGTTCCATATACACTATTTAAAATAAAAGTGAGGAATAATACTCTCTTTCTTCACTCTGCTACTTTCTGGGAGCTCTGTACACTGACAAATGTATGACATCTATAGTTACCAGATCCTAGCTAACCTATCAGTCATCTTCTGCTTTAAAAATATTGCAACTCAGGTGCTTATTGCAGCAGTAATCATAGTGATACACTGTCTGTTAATACTCAGTTCTGCTTACAGTCATAGTTATAAAAAATGAAAAACATTTTTCACAAATCTTTGTACACATACTGTAAAAATCACCTTCCACAAAACAATTTACATCTGTTATGAGCATTTAAAAAATAAATTACACAGACTTGTCTCACCTATCCTTTCTTTTTCTTGAGAAAACAAATCTCATCAGTAACATCGACAGGATGTTCTTATCTGTAAACATGGGATGAAGATTCATGTTTCCAAAAAACTGTACACACAAAAAATCATCTTGATAAATACTGAAAAATAAGGATCCTTTTAATTGGCACAAACCAATGTAAACACGTGCATTCCCATCCAGAGATTGTCTCTAACTTCCTTGCTCTTGGGTTTTTAGTTGAAATTCAGGGATCTCACAGCCCTGTGAAGATTTTTCAGAGATAAAACCGTGAAGAGTTTTGGTTATGATCATAGCAGTTTTAGGCCTCTCATGCCTAAACCGAAGCACAGGCATTGACGGTGGTGCCACGCAGTGGAACACGCTGCTTTAGCCTTTTGCTTGCTGCTCAACAGCCGGTGACAACCTGCTGCTGGCACCTTGTACTGAAATTTCTCCTCTGGCTCAACGTGGGCTGTGCTTGTCAGGGCTACAGTACCAGCTTCTGGTCTCCTCGCTGAGTGACACCGGAGGCCGGTACGTACAGCAAAACCATAAAGCTTCTGGAATCTGAAAGCTGTGCTTGAGATACCGGAGCAGCCCAAATTTGTACCAACAGACGATGTGGCTCCTGGCAGGATTGAACTGTTCAATGTTATGTAATAAAATGTGGAAATGTGGAATATCATACGGCAGACAATCCAGGGTTGCAATCTACTGCTGTAAACAGCCTTCAAGCAACTCAAGCTGACCTTCTGCATCTAAGTATGTCTGCAAAGCTGATCACTGATCTTATACCTACCTAAGCTGAAAGATTTAGGTGCTGATCAAGTGGATTCTTCTGAAATTCAGCAACAGCACAGATGGAAAATAAATTACCAGGCCACATGCTTCCACTAAAATAATTAAACATATAGCCATGGTACTGCCCAGCAAGATAAATGCAATCATTTAAAACAAGCTTTATAAATAAATAAATAAAAAGGAAAAACCTCCATGTAAACTGAATAAAATGTCACTTCTCTTATAGCACCCAAAGAGGGACTGGCATTACTAAATAATATAAATCTTCCATACTTTATATATTTCTCTATATTACATCTGATATGTTTTGGCATGGAGAGATGGACAGGAAAAAGTAGGATGATTAACTTCATTCAGTATTTGTTCTGTTGAAGCCAAGCTCCTGCATTACCATCTATTGCTAACCATTCCTAGAGCGCTTTGGCCTTTTTACCCATCTTGGATTTTGCGCTCCCTTTCCTGGCAGAGTAGACTGGTTCACCTTTCTTTTGTGCTCTCCATATTTCTCTTGAACATTCAACAGGTTCATAGAAGCATTTCACTGGCTGCAAGCTGGTTTTTTCATCCTTTGCTTTTCTCATCAAGATTCTTCCTTTTTGAAAGGAATGAGGCTTTGTGTCAGGGATGTTATATGAAGTGTGACTTCCTCGGCTCCTGAAATCATTAATAGTGATTATTAATAACTATTATTCAATCTTGCAAAGTGAAAGGTCCCCAAAATGACCAAACACATATATTTTTGAAGACAGAAATAGCCTTGTTTTACAGAACCAGGCTGAAAGTTAAAGCCAGCGTTGCAAGATAAATTACATTCCTCAATACTCAAAAACACCCCTCACTATAAGAACTGCTACGTGTTACTGGTGGACTCTTTATGCATGTTCACCTACACTTTTATTCAGATAGCATTCTGCTGATTTTGGGGTGCTGAGACCTTCCTGAGATCTATATCCTCATAACTAGGTGATCTACAGGGATTTTAAAGGTGCTTATGTTCATGGCAACCTTCTTTAAAGAACGAACATCGCGTGATCTTTGGAAGACCACAGAGCACCAATAACAGTCTAAAGTGGGTGCAGGAACTGGAGGAACTTCGTGGTGCAATCTCAGTACTGCCCTGGACTGTGGCTGCTGCTAATGGCCAATAGCTCCAGAAATTCCACGCTCTGCCTTTGTGCTGGCCACCCATCTAGGGAAACTTTAGCTTTGCTCTTAGGCTTTGATTTGAAATGAGAGAAGAGGAAAGGGGAATACAGAAATTGGTGGGAAGAAGGGTACGAAGGCTTAAAAGCCAAGGTAAGCTGAATTATTTGTTCTCTCTGCAATGGTTAAGGCCCAGCAGGATTTGCTGAAATCAGTACGCTCAGGTAGAGTGACAGCACTGGGCCTGATGCTGCAAAAGCTGAACCATGCCCTCTGCTCTGAAATTTTACTGCAGTTCCACAGTTTAGCTAAGTAAGACCATTATAATCCCTTTTAACATAATCTTGAAATGTTTTACAGCAGATGCACATAGTCTAACAGCAGGACTATGAATGTAAGGTGCCAGCTCATGTCTACCTAGCTACTGTGACTGAAGCAAAGAACAGATGTGATGATGTACAGCACCTCTCCTGCGAGGACAGGCTGAGAGAGTTGGGGCTGTTCAGCCTGGAGAAGAGAAGGCTCTGGGGAGACCTTATAGCGGCCTTCCAGTACCTGAAGGGGCCTACAGGAAGGCTGGGGAGGAACTTTTTACAAAGGCAGGTAGTGACAGAACAAAGAATAATGGCTTTAAGCTGAAAGAGGGTAGGTTTAGATTAGATATGAGGAAGAAATTCTTTGCTGTGAGGGTGGTGAGACACTGGCACAGGTTGCCCAAGGAAGTTGTGGATGCCCCCTCCCTGGAAGTGTTCAAGGTCAGGCTGGATGAGGCTTTGAGCAACCTGGTCTAGTGGGGGGTGTCCCTGCTGATGGCAGGGGGGTTGGAACTGGATGATCTTTAAGGTCCCTTCCAACCCAAACCATTCTATGATTCTACAATTCTACAAGTTGACCTCTTCAGGGTACCTGCAGGGCTATTTTCAATAGCTTGTTATTTCTGGAAATAACATATCTGTAGTATTACTTCCCCTGGGAGTTAAACAATTTTGCACACTTGACAAAGCCAGTTTTGGAAAGAGCTGTGGTTGTTCAAGTGTGTACTATCCGCTTTAAAAGACGAGAAGGGCATCGGGAAGCCTTCTGTATTTGATGGTGGGAGGCAGCGAGGACCAGTTGACAGCACCAGAACCAAGCCTTACCTACAGAACAGTTTCACCTGGTTGGCAGCTTTGCCAACCAGACTTCACTATGAGGAAGTTTTGGAGGGGAAATGCTGTGCAGGTCCAAGCTGGAGCTTACAGGTTCTGCGCCGTGCAGGCCTGGGCTCTGACCACTTGCTAGGGGTTAGAAATTACTCGTGTAAATGCACAAATGTTGGCCACTCCAGTTTATGATCACTTCTTGGGCACTGTTTGTTACAGTCCATTACTTAGTTGTTGTTAAATGATGGAGTGCTCTGTTTTTTCTCAGATGTTGTTATGGTGAAAAAGTTACACCATTTATTCGCAAAGCACATGCTGGTGTGATTGCAGCTGACGTTAGTCACTCGTCTGCTGCACTGAATGATGCTGTTAAAACCAGAAGAAATGAAGGTTCATATTTTCAGAGGGGATTGCTTAAAAGAGCTAAACTGTATTTAAATTAAATGAGCTTATGGTAGAGAAGGTGGATGTCTGTCCCTAATTTACAGCCAGAGTAAGAAGGTATGCAAGACAAATGAAGAGGCAGGTCACTGCACATGAAATGCAATGCTGCTGGCTCTAGGTGCAAGCAATGTTTTTTCATTGAAAGCAGCAACTCCTTGACAGAAGTGACTGTGAGAGTCTGGACTTCCACTTGAACATGTTCCTGATCTGGCTCATTATGGAGAAAGATGGAAACAATGTGACTAAATGCACCCCACTACCACAGGCACTTAAGAACAAACTTACTCTTGCTGCATTTCACAAACATCAGATATTTTTAAAGACAGGTCTCATGATTTTGAGAGACCGAATCTTAGCTTCTGCACAATGGAAGCTGGCATTTAAAGCCGATGTAGGCACAGATGTGCAGGCAAGCCCCAGTGCCTTTGAGAAATGGCTAGTGAGCATCAGCAAAGGTCTGCCATGCCCTCAGTGGGGCATTTCCTGAAAATAGGCAGGAGAAACTGGAGAAAAGGAACTGGTAAGCAAGGTAGATGCTTTTGGAGCAGGAAGGATTTCAAGTTCAGCCATTGATCCCAAATAGTGTTAGCCACTGGAAGCCCCAAATCCTCTGAGATTACACTGAATTTTCTAGACGGGTAGTAACACTACCCATTTATTTTAGCGAGCACATATCATTAAAATCTCATTTTATGTACTTAGCTGAGTTAAAGCTCATAAAAACAGCTGGTGTGAATGCAAATGCTGGGCTCATCCACAGAACAGGCAGAACAAAATAGACTTCCCTACCTCGCTGAGTGTCCTCTCCTCTATCCTTTCTGCTTTGTGGGACAAGTTGGGATATTTTTAATCTGGTAACTCCAAATACAGGCTACTACTAAATTCTAGTTTTGATAGTGTCTTTTCAAAGGAGAAGAGTATCAGTAGTTAAACAGAAACCTCTAAACAATTCATATATGCCTTTGAACTACCACTATTTGTCAGCAATTAATGGATTTTACCAAACTGCATTGTATTTAGACCAAAGACTTGTCAGCAGAGAGACTCATCTCACTGAGTCACTGAATTTACTTGTTATATTTTCATTCTATTTTCGTTTATTCCAATCATATTAAGATATATGGAAGCCTGAAAAGTGTATACATAGTCAACTCAAAGTCTACTTTGGACAATCAAGTTTTTCCAGAATCTCAAATTAGTAGGGGAAAAAAAACCCTAGAAAAATTATAAAAATAAAAAGAAAACCCAAGGCTAATACTGTTAATTATTAATGCAAACACTGTTTGTCAGCAAAAGGGTACTTGGCCAGTTGCCTGCTAGGACTAAGATATATGAAAAACAAAAACAACCCAAAGAGCAAAAAGCACCCCCCCCATCCCAGTAGGCTATTATGTTGTATTTTTAGTTTATTTTCCACCCCATCCATCTGTTCATGTATGTCTCAATCTTCTAGTAATTCTTGAACCTGTTGGTCAAACACAAACAAATCTGGCATCTGTGGTGACGCAACAGGTTTCAGGGCAATGGGCAAAAAACCCTAACGTGTGCCCCCACTAAGAAAGGTTGCCCTGAGGAAGGACACGCTGCCTGACCGTTGCTTGGCCAAGCAGCACGCATGATGCTCCAGACCAGCTGCTGGGACTCATGACCGAGTCACAAAGACATGGGAAACCAGCCCCAATTAGTTCTGCTGCTCCCAGGACAGCTGCTTGGGTAACCCAAGATGCTGCTAGTGCCCATGCTTTGTCAGGGCACTCATTTGCTTACACGTGATTTTTAAGTCAACAGTGTTACTGTCAGTTAGGAAATGACAACTGTCTCTCTCCTACCTACAGAATGCTAAAGATACTTTCAGCTGAAACTTGGCCTGTGTCTGCTGAAGAGATTCAGCTACTGTAGCTTTGCAATAGGCTATTGTAGTCCGCAGGAAGGAGACATTCATTTAACAGAAATTACTCTTTTTTTTTTTCCTTTAGAGAATATCTGATTGTAGCTTTGATTTAGCAGAAATCTGTTTCCTCTATTACATGACATAAATATAAATCATACTCAGATATAGAACCTGATCCAAACCCAACCTGATTCAGGCTTCTGAATAAGGTGAAATGCACAAGCAGAAATGTAAGCGTGTCAAGTTAGTATGTTTAAGTAAGAGAAAAAAAAAGATATACATACAGGCATCTGGGTTTCTTATTTAATGAAATGTCTGTAAACTGCAAAAAAAAAAAAAGAAACAGGTTATTAATATTACTATTATATTATCAAGGAAAGTACAGGGATAAAATATATGCAGTCTCCAAAATCATATTTCCATTCTCACCTGCTGTTAAAGCTAGAAGAATATTCATGAAACTGAAAAAAACCAAAACCTTTTACATATTATTACTCCTCCAACATATTACATCTGTTTTTAAAATTTGTAACATGAGTTGTTAGTGTTTGGATTTTTACCCATTATTTTTATCATAACTGTGATCAAAGTAAATTGCTAAAGAAGTGTGGGCTGAACAGAGATCTTTCACATTAAAGAGTATGGACATAACGAGAAGTAATTATTGTGTTAAAGATAATTAATAAGGGGCAGTGCCTGAATAAGCTGTATTAAATTAACCTTCTTTCAGAGCCTTTAATTTTGCAGTGATACATTTCCTTTACACAAGCGTCTAGAAAACTCCAGCTATGAGCCCTTGGCTCTGCCTACAGCAGCACTGAGGGGTGGAGGGTGAGAATGCAACCGTTTCTCTCCCTTCCCACCCCAACTCCTGAGACCAGCTAGGGACAGCATGGCCTCAGTGCCAGCACGACTCTGAATGACTTCATTTTTTACAACAGTTTCATTCACAGTGTGGAAACACTTTGTCTAGTCCCTCTTTTAGTGAGGGTCAGGAGAGGATGTGTTTAATGCCAGGTCAGCCTAAATTGGTCTGGGTACCAAAATCGGGTCTTTGTACTGATCTCCCATCAGTGCTACTAGACTGAGCCTTTGAATATCATTTAATGAAGCCACTGAACCAAGCAAGTCAGATCTGGCATCTGAAAATGATTATGTTCTTGTAAATGTTCCCTCTGTCCCTGGTATTGTCCACGCTTTGCAGATGGATTTTTGCCCAGCCTAACTTTGCTTGTCATCTGTCTTGGATGGAGTCTGGAGCCACCTCACGGTGTGCTTTTCTGTAATTACCTCCTGAAGGTCAGGCTGGTCAATATTTGGATGGATGACCTTAGAGGAATGCTGAAGTCACTCAGAAAGCAGGGCAGCTGCCTCAAAAATTAGTGCCTTCCCCAAAGGACACTGCTGAGGCAGAGATCCCAGTAAACACATTAAGAGCAAGGGAAATTATTTAATACTGAGGCCCATATTTACAGTCCCTATCAGTGTTCTCACAGACACTGTTTGAGATGACCTGAGCTAGATCTACATTTATTGTACACATCTACATTTATTCAGCTCTTGCCTAAAGTTCTTTGTCTTCCAAGTGGCTATGGGAACCACTCTGCTTTCCACCATTGCATACCTGTTCAGCGCTGCACGTGATCAAATGCCTTTCCTCCCACCTCCCAGAATGAGCACTCATGTAGGCAACATGGGGTATTCACTTAAACTGAAATGTTCTTTGGAAGTCATGTGGATAAAACTTGCCATATAAATGTAGTGCATTGTAAGGAAAATACTGAGTTTAAGTATTAATAATGAGAGGTTTTAAAGAAATTATGTATTTTAAAAAACAATGTTCACACAACTTTGGTTTCTGATCTGTGGGGCACAGGCCTGTGGGAATCACTTCACCATTTCTAAGAGTCCCCTGATAGGTAACTACAGAAAGCAAACCGTCTTGCCAGCGGGCTGACATGTCCTCTGTAGGGATCCACATCTTTCCTGAAAATCTTTAGAGATCTCCAAAAAACTGCCAAGTCACTGAGTGACATAAAGGAAAGTGTTTCTTGCAAAGGTAACAGTAGCAATAGCCAAAGCTAGGGGGGGGAAAAGTTAAATATCTGGCCAATATTTCATTATTCTCTGCTCTCCCTTTCCCATCTTTGGCTACTGTGCCTTTACGCTCTCTGCTCCTTCCCTCATGTGAAGTGGCAGTTTAAAACGGAAATAAAAGAAGCCTGAAGAAACATTTTACAAATCCAAATCTGTCTGGAGTAGCAATTAGACTGTCCTGCTGAGCCAACCCGTATTCAAATTCCAGTACTTCCCCTCTGGTGGTGCATGACAATGAAGAGAAGGACTTTGCTGTCTTACCAGGTGCTCGCTGACATCGGTGTGGTTGCACACCATCTGCTGATTTTGGTAATATTCTAGCTGCCTTTCTGCCAGATCCACGCGCTGCAGCAGGTTCTCAATGAAGTGCTGGAGCCTGGCTTTTCCCCTCACTTCTTTTTCTGCTGCTTCTTCCAGGAAGTGGTTGAAAGTAACAACTTCTCTGCAAGATGAAAACATTGCAAAGAGGCCACATTTTAATACTGGGAAGGGCCTTGTCTCAACTCTGTCAGAAAATTACTGATGTTTCTCCTGTTTTTCATGGTGATAGCCTGTTGGTGGCTATTTACTGTCCTTCACCTCTATTCAGAGATTTCAGCCTTTTTCTGGACACTAAGTGAAGAGCTGGAACACTGAATGCTGAATTTAAGTTTATGGTCAGTGGATGTGGGTTTTTTGTCACATTATTAGGTCTCCTGGGAACAGTCCTTAGTGGTTCACAGGGCAGAATGTCATTAAGCATCACCTCTTGAGGTATCTGGAGAGAGCTCTTTTTTAACTTACTCATGTGAGTATCAACCCTGAAACAAGAGAAGTGGATAAACCCCCAAATTAATCTTCCCAGTTCATCATAATCTGACAGTGATAGTTTAATGTTGCTGCTGGGGTGGTTCCTAATTTAAAAGTGGCCATAAAACTTCATTTTGGCTGCAATCCTGCAAGTATGTCAAAGTGCAGTGTTACAATCTGGAGCTAGTGGGAGCATGGGAGATTAAGAGATAATCTACAGATTATAGACCAAGGAGTATGTGCGTGGGAAGAGCAAGTTTTAGGTCAGGAGTTTAGAAACGTTTCTTGTCTAGTAACACAATGGGAAGAAACAGACAGCACCACTGCGAAGGACTGTGAGAGGTCCCAGCTCTGTACTGAGATAGAGCGCATTTTGAAGTGCTCTGCATACTATCAGTTTACTATCAGTAGTCAGGCCACCATTTGGACTCAGGGTATCAGGAGTTTCTGGGTGGGAGAAGTTTGGTTATAGGGCGAGCCAGGTATTACAAAAAATGGCAAATCTGAGCATGAAAGGCTTCCCCAGTTAATAAATGCCTGGATAAACAGTTCTTGCCCTGCCAATGAATTATTTTTTGCTCTGTACAAAACTGAGAGGGTGGGAGTAGGGGAAACCAATGCTTGCCAAATGAGAAAGGGCATGATGGCTTGGTAGAAATACATGGCTTGAGGAAAAAGGTTTGTAAGCAGAAACCAGGTAACAGTTTGTAGCAGAAATAACCTCTCAAAGCTTAGCTTGTTTGCAACAAATATAAAGTTTCTCTGCATTTCATTGTTTTAACTCAGTATAGCTGTAGATAATTGGTTTAACTCAATATAGGTGCTTTAACAGTGAGCTCGTCTGCGCCAAAAAGAGCTAGGCACAAGTGGTCAGCTATGGAAATTCACAATCTAGGATTCAGGCTGTGTCTGGCTGCTATAAACTGCAGCAGAGTGCAGTAAGAGGCTGTTTGCATGGCTGATCTAATGGTAGGAATGAGGTAAAAAGAAGCACATCTTGTTTGGATAAATAACATTGATGAATATTAGTTTATATTAACTCACCCACAAAATCTGGCTTAAGAAACAGAGAGGTACTTTGTTATGCTCAGGTAATCCATTCCATTTCAAGGCTCTGTACGGTTTCTGTGGTTATTAGCTTGCCCAGAGTAACCTGGTAATAAAAAGCCACTGAGGAATGCTTAGGAGGAAGCCAATCTGAACACATTAGTGACAGTTTTAGGGCTTTATTCTCACTGCATTTACAGCATTTTAACTTCTTTGATTTCATGACACCGCTCTGTGTTGGCATAGGAGCAACCCAAAGCCCTTGGCACCCTGGCAGGCTCCTCTTTTACAGTGGACAGGAAGCTCAAAAGGGCAGAAACTCATCAGGTTGGCTCCAAATCTCTGCTCTGGGGAAGAAAGGAGAACTGCACACAGCCTGCCAGGCTTCTGGCCCTCCAGCAGTAAGGCTGAGCAGGGCAGGGAGCCACCAGCCTGGGACATCGAGAGGACGTCCCTCCCAAGGCCACAGTCAGCTTGAGCATTTTGCTGCAGTGAGAGGCCACAAGCATTGAGTACCTTGCATTTATTTTTATAAGGGTGATAGTTTCAAGAATGCTAACATTTGTAATTGCCTCATGAAAGGTAATTAAAAAGCATTCATTAATCACCTGCTCCATGGCATGAATAGATCACCCACAAATTCTCCTTTCCTACAAATATCTCATTAGTGAGGTTTGCCGTAAAGGGTACAGGGGGAAGCAGTGCTTTTTCTGGAAGACTTAGACAACTACCAGGAGAAGAACAGACACATAAGTGTCAATAAATTCCCTAGTAGTTTCCTTCCTTTCTAGGCTTCTCAACATAACTTGGCATCCTACGTGCCATTATTTCTAGGAACTGTTATTAGCAGCAGTAGTAGCATTTCCATCATTTTTCTCTGCTTGTTTAGCTGCCTCTATACAGCCTATGAACCTGCCTTTAGTAACTTTTATCTAAAAATTGTCCTTTGGGTTAAATGGTACAAACACTCTGTACGGTCCCTTTACAAAGACAAGAGCCAGAATATACCCACTCGCTAGTCTTGGTCACAGGCCTTGTCCCAATAAACAGCACTTCTGCTCAGCTACTTCCTTTGTTTCCACTTCATTCTCATCACTCCGAAGAACATCATCAAGCCTCAAGGAGTGACTGCTAATAAGTGTCTCTACTTGCTCCAACACCTCTTCCTCAGAGAGCTCACTCTGTGTCACAGCTATGCCTTGGTTACCTGAAGGGAGTTCCCTGAAGAATTTTTACTCTTCCTCCTACCATGAATAATAGGGAAATAGTTCAAAGAACTCTGTGTAGCTTTCTGCAGCCACTGTTTATCTGTTTACTTGCCTTTCTTCTCTCTTGCAGTTTGCCCAGACTTTTTCATAGCCATACTGATGACTTTCAATTCTATTTCTAGATAGCTGTGATGACTTTTTGCTTATAAACTTAAAAGCTTAAACTTTGCTTCTAAAACTTCCAGTTTACAGGCCTCTGCCAATTTTGGGGGGGATTATGTGATACGATTGATATATTTTACTCTCTGCTCTTATGCTTGTGGAAAGATGGATGTCCACAGAGGTCAGATGCTGCTCCTCATGAAGTCAGGGAGAAGCTGAGCCCGTGGGTATTTTGGGGCACACTTGTTAGAGGCATAAACTAGAGCACAGCAGCATGGGCCCGCTGGGCTCTGTGTCTTGTCAGCAGTGCTCACCTGAAACAGCAATCATTTGTCAAAGCCCGTCTCAGACCTGAAGCGTTGCCCTTTCTAATGAGAGGTTTCTGCTACCCTGCACAGACTATTCTACATCTGGAGCACTGCTGCACTATATTAAGAAAAGGTTATGTAAAGTTATTAACTTCCCTTGAATTCCTCTGTTCTCAGCATCACCTCTTTCCCGTTCTGCTCTGCTCCTCCCTTTGCTCTCTGCCCACCAGCCCGCAGCCTCCTGTCCCTTTTTGCTCAGCTGCACTCACTGTAGCACCGTAAGCTCTACGCCCTGCCACTGAATTTTCTGAGTGGAGGAGAAGGTGCTCAGTGCACCTCAGATATCTGTAAATTTCTGTAATGGATAGCAGTGATCTCATCTGTTTGCTCATAGTTTACTATACTAATATTAAGGTATATTGTATAGCAAAACCTTTTGTTAAAGGGCTGTGACTGGGCAGCAGGAAGAAAGGAGGGTTATTTGCTTTGTCTTGGGTGCTCTTGTCAGACAAAACCTTTCAGAAGTAGGGATGGCTGCTGCTGCCCAGAGAGCAGAGGGCACACTGAACTGCCAGCAGCTTGTGGCAACAAGGTGAGGCAAGCGAGAGGGAAAGACGAAGGGGATGTAACCTGGGAGGTGTCCAAGAGGAGCAGGAGATGACTGTACTGCCAGAGAAGAGCTCTTCCCAGAGCCAGAGGAATCCGGGGAAAATTTATTGCAGTGCAGCAGGCAACTCAGAGGTGCTCAGCTGAAAAAACAAGCGCAGAGGGAAAGACTCACTGTTGGCAAGAAAGACTTGCTGCCAAAGCTTTTATTTTACTCTGACTCTTCCAGGGAGTTAACCTGTTATAGTTAACCAGACTTAACTAGTTTGGTGTTTCACATTCCAACTGCAGCCTAGCTGCCCTCAGGGAAAATCCACAGAACCTGCCTTGAAACTTTTCCTGAAACCTTCTTTATGGAGTCTGTTGTCATGAAACAGCATGAGATGTGGTAAATAAAGTTATAAATCACAGACTGACTAGGTGACATTTATTCTTCTGCCTTTACCACTAGATTATGCAGTGCTCGTTGCAGGACTAGTGAGCTGCAGTTCTTGTTTACTGGAGCAGTAGTTGGCATGTGGACCCTGCAGATACCCTGAGTATTTGTACGGCTTTCAGCACTTAAGCATGTGATACACAGAGCAGATGCAGAGGCTGGGACAGCTCCAGCTCCTTAACAACTGACAAGAAGGGCTAATGATTTCTCACATTGTGACCAAACCCTCCTACAGATGCATAATACTGGTCCCAGGACTATTTACAGCAACTTTGACACCTGCAATTGCTCTGTAGGTGGAGACAAGCATGAGGCTCTATGAAGATTCTGCATGCAAGTATAAAAATCCCTTTGAGAACTGCACTTTGAATAACTCTGCCTAAAATAAATAGAAAACCAAACCCTTGTATTATTTTATCTGAGGAGAGGGAAGTTCCTGCTATAGTAAGTAATAAAGAGATTTCCTTGTGAAAATTTCACAAGTGATTTACTTGTGGAAATATTTAAAATATGTGCATCCATTAAGTATTAATGCTGCTGACCTCATCTGTCATCTGGTTGGTGTTACTGCCTGAAGGCTGCTATCTGTTATTCACTAGGTTGTGGTTTCACATTCCTACACCACTATCAGCACATTCGATTTAAGAGGTTCACACCTCCTCCCCTCAGAAAGTTACTGTCCTACCAGTTGCACCCATTCAGTGGGTTGTGCTCTAGATCTGAGCTCTGAACTTAATAGGGTGACACTGTGGAGATTAAAATGCTTTATTTCACAGAGCCATTCTGTGGGATAGTCACACTACACTTGAACCAATGCAGCTGTGGGGGGAGTAATCTCTTGAGTGGGAAGATGAAAGGAATGGGGAAGAGGGAGCGAGACCACCTG